CCCCCACCCCACCCCCCAACTTCAGTTTTTGTTGCGGATTCGGGGTCCTCTAGTGCAGCGCAGCACAGCCCCACCGTCAGAAAATAAAAATAAAAATTCCTGGCCCTGTTTTTGCGTCGCCCGGTTCACCCGGGCGGACCCCCCCGGGCCCAACCGGCCGGGCACGCCCGGCTGGGCGCCAGGGCAGCCTAGGTGTTGGGTCGTCTTTTTTTTTACTCCTCCTGACATGTAGTGTTACATCTTCGACGCCACACGGGTCCTACCGGACCCGACTTAGGGCCAGAGGGACACAGTAGGGCCTAAAGGCCCGACCTTGGGGGTACTACAGGCCGAAAAGGCCTCACTTTGGACCAGACCCGACGGGCAGGCCCAAACGACATTACCGATTGGGCCTGGCGGCGCTCTTGAGGCTGCCGCCCGCCGGTTGGGGCTGAACCGTCCATCTCGACGGTTCAGGGCACGGCCAGGCCTCGCAGCATTGAGGCCGGCCTCTGCCCCACCGGTACAAAAGACCGGTCCGGCCTCACTTCAGGGATCGACCCACCGGCACTCTAGCGGTGCGGTATGGTACGGCGCGACAGCGCTGGCGCTATTCTTAGCGCAGGAGCACGAGGAGCAGCGGCAGCAGCAGCATTAGCGCAGCAGCAGCATTAGCGCAGCAGCAGCGAGCGGAGCAGCAGCAGCGGCGACTCAGCATATCGGCGGCCATAGCCGCCTGAGGTATCGGGAGTCGGAGGTTCTCTCCTCCCTCCCATCGCCAGTCCCCTCTCTCTCTCTCTCTCTCCTCCTCGGCTCCCTTCTCCTTCTTCTTCTTCTTCTTCTTCTTCTTCTTCTTCTTCAGACTGGAGACTTATACTAGTTGGACAGAGATCAGAGTTGGACTTCGGTGGTAAGAGGCTGTGGTACTTACCGGGTTCGAGACTTGGAGATTGTTGGGGATGATACTCGGCTGCATCACAGATTTGACACCGGTTACATTAGGACTCTGTATCTCCGACATTGGTGACTTATTGTCCTCGACGTTTTGATCTTGTTCGATGACATTTTGGATTACCATATCGGTGACCTACTGGTTTCTATCTCGGTGACATTTGGTGCTACCTACATCTCCCATCTCCTTCGTCTCTCCTCCCTCCATCTGTGCATGTGTGTACGGGGCTGAGCATCGTCCATGTATGGCTCAGACCCCACCATCTCACGACTGTATGTGTGTGGAGTGATATCTATGTGAGTCAGTCCGTTTCTCAGACTTCCGTTGCATACATGCTCATCCCATATTGGTTGATCTTTGGTTCTGCCCCATACTCGTTGAAGTCATCACGAGTATGTAACATGTAGCCAGCTGTTCACGGGGAATGCAGTATAAGTAAGAAAATAATTGTCTGAGCACACCACACAGAGGTCTGAGCTGTTTGGGTCGTTTTTTCCTCCGTCTGACATGTAGCCAGCTGTTCACGGGGAATGCAGTGTAACTAGTAAAATT